GGATGGATGGATGGATGTGGTGGGGGGGACACAGACCGCGATACGGCGTTAGGACAAACACACGGCATCTGGAAAAACTCAGAACAATGATTTTAATGTACAAACCCCAGCGCTGTAGCAGGTCGGTGCGTTTGGAACCGAGATCTACGGAGAACAAAATAAACCCGGGGGATGCGGGGAGAGGGAAAAACAGCCCTTCTGGCCACGTTACCCACGTAAAACAAGCGGTGAGGGGACGCACAACCCCGTCACAGCATCAGGCAGGAACTTTGCTGCTGAAATTTCCTTTAAAACTTACCAAAGGGAAGGGAGAGCCGCCGGGAGCGAGACGCTTCCCGCCCGGAGCCGCGGGAATGGCTCATCTACATCCCGAAACGCACGAGAACTACATGCAGTAGTATAAATCTCAAGGACATGTTACAAATACTCTGAAATTAATCTAAGGGTAAAGGGGAAATAAAACCAAAACAACTTGCTACAGACACCATCATACACAATAAATTTAGATAATTTAAAAATAAAAAAGGCAAGAGGCAGCATTTCAGCAGCAAAGTGCTCGATAAAAAGTATATTGTAAAGGGGATGGTACAGGGGAGGAGGGAGGCAGCAGGCAGGGAGAGGCCTCAGAGGAAATACGGCGTGGTTGTCCTGGGAGGAATTACACGTTCTGAATCGGGGACTGCACGGAATAGCTTTGGTTCTCTTGTATTTACATCTTTAAAGACCATGATTGAGGCGATATTTCCACAGCGGTAGCAGTAGTTTGGAGCGGACCATACCGTTACCAATTTCTCATCAAACATGAATTTGTAGCCCTCGTGAACCAGCTGGTGCGCTCTGCAGATGAGCTTTAAGTTGTTGATGTGGACAAACTGCGAAGGAAAAAAGGGAGGTCAGAATTCCCCGAGCTCCCCTGTTCCACTGAGCTCTGGCTCAGTCCTTCCAGAATGTGCTGTGGAAAGGGTACGGAGGCAACGCATGCCATGAGTGCGGTGTTCGTAACACAGCTGACAGAGGCTGGGGAGGTTGGTGTGTATTAGCCCTGAGAACCTGCTCACCTTTCTCTAAAGTACCAAAATCAGGAATTTTTAAGAGAAATGGTGGTTTTGTTCTCTTAAATCCTTTGAGAAAGTGTTTTGCACAAACCCCAGTGATACTCTTGGGTCTCATCACATTACACTGTAAAAGCCAGAGCCGTATCACTGCATCTGGCAGCTGTATTTTAAGTTCACACAGCACATTTTTCCCAGCTGGCTTGAGCAAACCTCCTCCACGATAACTTACTTGCAGCCATGTTCCTGCTGTTCCTCACCCTGCAGTGCCCTCAACCCATCCAAACTGAGCTGAACGCTTCGGCTGACCTCACACCTGCAGTTACTGCATCTTGCACACGACAGCATCATTACCTCATTCGTCACCTTCGCGCCGAAGAGCCAGCCTGCTCCTCGCGGGCTGATGGCCCACGTGTCCACGTCTTCTGGGTCAGACCAGACCAGGTCACAGAAGGCGCCTTTGTGAGGAATTTCTTGATTACGTTCAATGGTTCGAATTTGATCGAGTGTCTTGATGTCCGGAGAGAGGCCGCCGTGCACACAGAGGATCTGCTCGTCTATTAACTGCAGGGAAAGGAAGACACACGTACAAACCACTCAGGATGTTAATCCGGACCAATGCCACCCGCACGACCCTTCAAGGTCACCCATTCCAGCACTCCCACTTAGACAGCCTGTTGTATGTTTTGGACGTGGTGTTTACACTTACAGCCGCTATCGTGAGCATGTCAAAGACTTTGGTGCAGTATCTCCAAGCATTAGCATTTCCGTATTTGGTTTGGCACTCATCTGTTAAACAGAGAAATTCCGTAACGGATCAGAAGGCATTAAACCAGCAAGATCAGAGGGGAACGCTTACAGCACAACCTGCAAAGTCAGGCCTGTGACAGAACCCCAGGGGAGCACTCGGCCCTAGGGAGGGACCCTGGATCCTGCTGGACTTCACTTCCCAAGTGACACAGAGAAAACAGGGTCTCGTGCAACACAACAACGCTTCCACTGGGAACTGACCCTCTGTGAGAGCAGCCCAGGGCTTAAAGCAGCAGATTTACACAGCTTTTATGGCTGTGTTTTATGTATGGGTATGCTGTGTATGACATTTACAGAGCTTTGTGTGGAACCCTTCCTTACAAGACAGCAAAGCACATCCTGTGTAACTGTGTGCTCTGAAACTGAACATCGGACCAGAAATCGGGATACCAAAGGAAAAGAGCAACGAGACCCAGACAAAAAGACATTCTACTTCACAAACACAATGTTAACAAATGACGGGAGCCCACTTCCCCTCCGGTCCTAGGAACACCCAAGGCAGAGCTGCTTCCAAGAGAGTTCCCAGGGGAATTACACGTCCGCCCCCATTCAGAAATCGTTTGGATGAAGACTTACCATAAAATCCATACACCTGTGTTATCTGCCTGCTCTCGTGATTGCCTCGCAACAGTGTGATACGATCGGGCCACTTAGCTTTTAGTGCAAGCAGGTAAGTGAAAGTCTAAAGACTATAATAACCTCTATCTACAAAGTCACCCTGCAAGTCAAAAACAGCCATGAATGGAGAAACAGCAGAAACGCAAAGTGTTACAACCATTCTCAGTGCGTGAAGAACCCGACACCGGAGGGAAGCTGGGATCTGCCGGGATCCATCAGAACATGCTCTTTGGTCACTCGCGGTTTCAAGTCAGTGCTCACCCAAGGCTGCCCCAACCCAAGCCCTGACGGGTCCCGGACACCCCTCGGGATGGTGGGTGCCGCTG